CCCTGCAGCTTTCCCTCCCCCAGGAACCAGCAGGAAGCTGCACTGCCTGTGAAGCTGGAAGGAAGGCAGCTCACCTGGAAAGCATTGTTCAGCCACAGCACTGAGCAGGAGGTTATGCGTCCAATCCGATGCAGATTGCCTGATATCAAGTTGGTTTCGTTCAGCCAGCAGCCAAACACATCATAGGGCTTATTCCTCACCCTGGAAAGCAGCGTGAAGTTCTCTGGAAGGGAAATATGAGTGTAAGGCAGTGACTTCCAGCAAGAGCCCTGGAGAAACCGTGTAGGACAGAGGAAGTGAATCCAGGTCTCTGTAGGAGGGGCCAACTCCCTTCCAGTTCCCAGCCACTGCTACAGAGACAGATTATTTCTCTTTTCTCCAGAGATGTGTGATGATACCTTGCACAAAGGAAACCAAAATAACAGGGCAGTGCACAGAGCCAGAGCACAGAGCAATTCAACCTCCCGCCCCTTCCCTGAGCGGGGCCCAGAGCAGGCCCTGGGGACAAGAAGGAGTTAAACACATACAGAATTTCCCTCCCACCCCTGCGGCTTGGGGCCTCTCCAGCCAAGGCAGCTGTGCACTCCTACTGCACTCCTGATTGCTGGTACTGTGGACTCTGCACAAAGATGGTGAGATAACAGTGGGGATAAGCCTCATACACAGAGCTGCAGCAGAAGTGAAGGAGGCTCAGGTGACAACACCTCAGAAAGCCCTGTGAGACCTAAGGGTGAGACTAGGGCCACAAAGGTGACCTGAGAGCTGGATGCAGCCACTTTCCTCTGGAGATGGGCTGAGAGGGCTGGGTGTGTCCAGCCTGAAGAAGAGAAGACTCTGACAAGACCTTAGAGCTCCAAAAGAGCTGGAGAGGAACCTGGGACAAGGGATGGAGAGACAGGACTCAGGGAATGGCTTCCCACTGCCAGAGGGCAGGGATGGATGGGATATTGGGAATTAGGAATTGCTCCCTATGAGGGTTGGAAGGCCCTGGCACAGGGTGCCCAGAGCAGCTGTGACTGCCAGGATCCCTGGAAGTGTCCAAGGCCAGGTTGGATGAGGCTTGGAGCAACCTGGGATAGTGGAAGATGTCCCTGCCCATGGCAGGGGGTTGGAATAAGCTGAGCCTTAAGGTCTCTTCCAACCCAAACCATTCCGGGTTTTTGTAGCTCTATGCCAAGCACCACATATGCCATAGGCAGGAGCTTCAAGATGAGTGATGTGGATAACCCTTGCCCACACTGGCACTTAGAAGAGAAGTGAGGGTAAATACACAACCACTGCCTTGAGGTGTTGCTGCAGTGACCTGAACAGAGTTAAGGCTGTCTGTGAGGTTTCCCCTCTAGAACTGTGATTGGAGCCCCTCAGCTGAGGAGTCAGGACGAGCTGAGACAAGGCTACTGCACACCCAAAGAAGAAGGGAACCCCCTCACCCAGCACTCATATGCCCCGGGGAGCCCCAGGGAAGCCCCACTTACCCATGCTGATGACAGCAATCTCCCCCGAGGAGGAGTTGTGAGGCCCCACAAAGACACCAGATACCAGCAGGAGGGAGTCATCAGAGTTGAACTGGGAGAACTGAGTGTAGCTCCAGTTGTATGGCCTCATGTTGGAGCTGTGCTGCAGGGAGATGTCCAGCTCATTGCTCCAGATCTACAGAGAGATGGGACAGTCAGGAAGCTGCTGAGAAGGCTGAGAGTGGTTCTCCTTTATCTGTTCTGCCAGTACTCACCAGGACATGAAAAACAAACAGTATCAAAAACCCCATTTAACTGCCTTCTGCTCACCACATCCCTGTCCATTTCCCTGACAGAAAATGGAGAGGGGCCAAATGGAGAACTGCTGCTCCACTAGCCAGAGGAGGTGTTCAGGCAGTGAATGGTGCTATCACAGCTGGATTTCCAGCATGTTCAGACAGATTCCTCCCAGGACAACCACTCAGGGAAGACATGATCCATTGCAGTGGATCATTATCTCCCTAGTCTTCATCAGACCCAGGGCACAACAGGACACTGATCTGCACCTAGAAAGCAAAGCATCTCGGCCACCTCCACACACACTCAGGCTGGAGCTCCACACAGCCCTCAAGGCTACATTTGCACAAGTCATTAGTTCTATGGCTTAGAAGACAGCTCAGCACCCACATGGAACCAGCCCATGTCCAGGGACATCTGGTCAAACCTCTCCACAGACTTGCCAAAGCCTGCTCAGGGCTAAGCCCCACTGGACCAAGGCTGCAAGAGCTGGACAGGGCACCTACCACTTTACCTTGACCGTGCAGTCTTTGGAGCATGATGCAAACAGGCAGCCAGAGTGGGAGAAGCTCAGGTGCAAAACTTGGTCATTATGCTCCTTCAGGGCCTGCACCTCCACGCAAGGGATGGTGTCGTAGAGCCTCTGGAACTCATCGTACCATGAGACAGCACCTGCAGCACAGAGCAGGGACACGGGGCAGAAGTGTGAGGGGAGGGAAGCAGAGCTGGGTTAAACATGGCACCAGGCTCTAATAAACCAATCCTGGCTCCTGTGAGCAAGGCCAGGAGCTCTGCTGGGGCACCAACCCAGGGCTGCAGCTCAGCTACCAGCCCTCAGCATTTTCTTCAGCAGCTTCCCTACTCCTACACACAAAAACCCCTTTCTTCCAGTACACACACAGCTCCACAGCACACTTCTGCTTTCCAAACCAGCACTGAACCAGCCCAGGCAGAGGTGCTGGCTGTCAGACCAAAACAGTCCTGAGAAGGAACATGTGTGCCAGCACAACCAAATCAAACAGGTGGGACAAGAGGGAAGCTGCTCCTCACCATACCCAGCTCTGCGCTGATTACCTCTGTCTTGTCTAACACAGAATTAAGACGGCTCTAGAAAGGGTCTGGGACCAGGAAAAAAACATCTCCATGAGGGAAGAGACTTGGAAAAATAAAAGAGAAGAACAGAAGCTGAGCACAGCGTGCTGAGCACAGCCTGGGGCACACTCATGGGAGTCTTACTGATGGACAATAAAAAACAAATAAAGAAAATTTTTAATGACGGGCCCAGCCAGGCAGCCTACAGACTTCTTGCAGCAGCAAATCCCAGAGAAGCAAAGAGGATTAGACATGTATATGGATAAGGGCCAACTTTCCTTGTGACACTGAACAGGACTGAAGGATTTTTTGGAACATGCTGCAGTCCAGGAGGCACCTGCTCCTGTAGGCAGGGACCAGCTTGCTGCCCAGCACATCAAACTGCTGCTCAAGGCTTCAGCCCCCTTTGAACCTCCTGGTCCTAGCCCATTCAGCTGGGAAAAGCCTGGGCAGGCCCCATCTGGCCAAGCAAACCCAACATTTCATCTTACAGACCCACTGCATACCATTCCTCTAACCATGGGGCTGCCCAGGGCAGCCCCCAAACTCATGCTCTAGCCCCTGCCCACACCTGCCAGCTGTCCCTGCCCTGCTGCCCTGTGCAGGGTGCCCACAGCTCCCTGTCAGAGAGGGGCCTGAATACCTTACTGAGCTACACCAACTGCTTGATCCTAATTAGTGCTCAAGAACAGGGCTGGCAGCTGACTAAGCAGCTCCAGGAGGCTGGGAGGGAATGAGCCTGGTCAAAAGGCTTCAGAAAAACCCTAAAGAGAACATCCTCAGCCCCATGGAGCTCCCAGGGTCTGCAAGAGCAAAGTCACATAGCCTGGAGGAATCCCATCAACATCCACTTCCCCTGAGAGCCCTTCTGCAGTGCTGTTCCTGCTGCAAGGAGATCAGCTCCCACTGCCTGATCCTTGGCATTTCTTCCTGCCCTTCTGTAGCCACTGCAATTCCCAGCCCAGGATCCAATTCCCTCAGCCACAGCTGGGGTCCCCCACACAGCCCCACAACACACCGGGAATGGGCTGCTTGAGGAGAAACCCCCCTGGGCAGCAAGGGCCCCTCTGCCAGCTCCCAGCTGGTGAGACAGAGCTGGCTGATCCTTCCAGACTGCACCAAAATGCTTCCAGCACTGGATGCTCAGCAGGGAGCAGAGCTGTGATCACACAACTGCCACCCCCAAGCCTTCTGACAGCTCGGCCAGGGACAGCCCTATCAGGCTCTGTCAGCTCCTGTTGTGAGCCCAGATCAAGTCCAACCTGCCCTGGTGCTGTAGGGCAGGTGCTGACTCAGCACATGTCCCCAGTGCTGTCACAGGGCCACACATCCCCCAGACAGCACAGGTGTCCCCGCAGAGCCCAGCCCCTGGGACCCTCAAAGCAGCCAATGGTGCTTGTGGCAGTGCCTGCTCCAGCTGCAGAACGGAGAGAGCTTCAGCAGAGGGGCTGCCAAGTCCCAGAAAGGCCAAGCTGGCAGTGATTCCACAGATCCCATGAAGGCTGGGATGCAGCAGCCTGTGGTGACTCACTGCAGCTCCCGGGATCTCCTTGGACAGCAGCTCCAGAGAGCACCTGCCTAGAGAGCTCAGGAAACCTTCTTTCTGTGAAAAGAAGGGAAAGGCAAAGCATTTTCAGCACTTTGACCCCCATTTCTGAAGGGTCTGGGCAGACCCAGAGCCCCTCCCGTGCACATCTCAGCCCAGGGCACTGTGACACAGCTGAGGTGACGTGTTTCGGGGGTTCCAGCACCTGGCAGCGGCGGGCAGAGCGGGGGGAGCGCAGCCTCCGTCCCGAGCTCACGGCAGGTGCCGCCCCCCGATCAGCCCCGCGCCCCAGAGCGCACCTGGGTGCCGCGGCACGTCCCGGGACACGCGGTAGTAGCGGTAGAAAAGCTCCTTCCACAGGAATTCGTCGCGGGCCACAGCGCGCCACTGCTGGCAGACAAGCCCCACCGAGAGCACGTCGGCGTGGTCCAGGTACAGAAAGATCTCGAACAGGACAGTGTCCGGGAGCCGGGGGCAGCCCGCGTCCATCGTGTCATTCTGCCGCCGCGCCTGGAACCGAGCGCGGTGCCGGTGTCAGGCCCGGAACGGGGACGCGCACCCACCGAGGGCCCGCGGCCCTCCCGAGCCTTTCCCGCTGCTCCCTTCGTGCCATGCCTGGTGCCCTGGTGGCGCCCGGGGCCAGTGTCCCCTCCCTCGCCGTGCCCGCTGTCCCCGGTGTCTCCCATGGCCGGTGCTCCGCCTGTGCCGTGCCCGGTGTTCCCTGTGCCCGGTGTCCCCGGTGTTCCCCGTGGCCGGTGTTCCCCCCGTGCCGTGCCCAGTGTCCCCGGTGTTCCCCGTGCCCGATGTTCCCCCTGTGCCGTGCCCGGTGTACCCCGTGGCCGGTGTTCCCCCCGTGCCGTGCCCGGTGTCCCCGCTGTCCCCCCGCACCTCGGCGGCTCCGCTGCCCCCGCCCCGCCGCGCCACTTCCGGCCGGCGCTGCCGGCGCTCCCCCGCCGGCCAATCACCGGGCGCGTCCGCCGCAGTCCCGACGGCTCGAGCACAGAGCTCCCCGCAGCGTGCCAGACACAGCGAGCCGAGCGCGGCGCGATCGCTCACGAGTGCCTCTGCCGCGACAGCGCTGCCCCGCCCCGCCCGGTCCGACCACGCCCCCGCAGACCACGCCTCATAGGACACGCCTATGTCCCGTTAAGCCACGCCCTGTTCCAAACAGGCCCCGCCCGGCACGGGAGCCCCCCGGCCCGGCCCGGCCCCGCCCCGCCCCGCCCCTCCCCTCCTAAGCCGCCAGCCCTGTCCCGGCCCCGCTCTCTGCGCTCCAACCCGGCCCTGCGCTCACCCCGGCCATGACCCCGTCCAGCCGCCCCCGGGGCTTCTGGCTCCCGGCCGTGCCCGCCTGGCCCCGCCGCTTCCCAGCAGCGCCGGCCTCGCACAGCAGCACATGGCGGCCCTGCGCACCCTCCTGCTCCTCGGGCTGCTCCTTACGGCGAGGGGGCAGAGGGCGGCGCGGAGACGGCGGCCGCCCCCTCCCCAGAGTGCGCTCGAAAAAGTGGTGGCTCAGGAGGCGCTCAGCCTCCACCAGGTGAGGGCTTGGGTTGAGGGGTCTGTGGGCATCTGCCGACCCCGCACTTGGCTGGGCTGCAGAGAGCCGCGGTGGCTCCTGTGTCGTGTGTCCCCCCCAGACCCGGCTTTGCAGCCCATCCTCCTGTATCCCCGTCCGGCATGCCCGTCCAGCGCCGACCCCCCTGCGCCCTTCCTCCCCAGGCCCACCGTTGCAGCTCGTCTTGTGTCCCCCCTCCAGGTCTGACCCCCTCTCTCCTCCCCAGCCTCAGCCTCCCAGCCCATCCTCCAAGCCCGAGCTCCTCAGTGCCCCCCACACACAGCCAGGGCTTCCTGAGCCCAGCTCAGCCCCAGCACTGCCTGCAGAGCTGCCCACAGAGCAGGCGCTAGGGCCGGAGCCTCACAGGAACCCCTTCCTCACCCCTCTGGAGCTGCCGGAGGGCCGGTGCAGCCGCTCTCACTATGGGGCTGGGGCTGAGATCGAGGCTCTGCTGGCGGGGCGAGCTGGGGCTGTGGCATTATGTGATGCCCAACAGACACCCAGTGTGGCACTGGGGTGCCCGCAGTGCTGTGGGCAGTGTGAGCCATGGGCAGGTGCCTTGGACATCCCCTACGTACCCCCAGCCTGTCCCCGTGTCAGGCTCATTCTGCCCTGCTATCCCACCAACTAGCACCTGAAGGGCCATTGTGCCCTGTGGGCAAGGCTGGAACAGGAACAGTTCCCAAGGAACAGCTGTGGGCAGAGTTGACAAGTGAGAGGGAGGGTGCCCAAGGTGGTTGAGTGGTGGCACCCCAGGCTTGTGGCCCTGCAGATGGTGCCACCCCTGTGCCATGCAGCTCTCAGGGAAGTGGTTCCTGGTCGGCATGGCCTCCCGCTGCAGCTACCTGGCAGAGCACAGCCACCAGCTGGAGGCCACAACAGTGACAATGACCGTCCTGGATGGGCAGAGCCTGGCCATCAGCACCTTCAGGAAGCTGTGAGTAATGCCAGGCACAGGGGGCGTGGGCAGGGACTGGGATGCTGCAGGCAGGGCGGAACAGGACCAGTGCCCTGGGATGGGGACTCTGAAAGCAGTGCCAGTGCCCTGGCCACAGGCTCCAAAGAGGACAGAGCTGCCCCAGAAGGAAGTGTGGGTGGGATACTCTCCAAGGAGTTTTGTAGTCAAAGCCCTGGCCACGATGGGTGCCCTGGTCATGATGGACACTCTGCCACCCGCATGTCCACTAGCCCAGGCTGAGCTGAGGGTGCCCAGGCTGTCAGTGTGAGGACAGCCAGGCTGGCAAAACTGAGACATGTGGTGGCTCAAAGGCTGCCCAACCCAGGACTGGCTCTTAGGACTATCCTAGGAGCAGCATGTCTGAGGATTGGGACCTTCAGCACATCTGTCACACTTTCCTCAGCCTGATGGGCCCTAAGGTCCTGACCAGGCTCAGCGTTGCAGGGAGGTGGCAGGGACTCCTTGAGCTCAGCATCTCTCACAATGTCTCCCCAGTGTTCTGGGACATCTTTCCCTGGGGAGAAAACCAAGTGCCAAGAAAACGGACACAGCATGTGTGCCTTGGCAGGCAGGGTGGGCAGGGATCCTAGAAGATCCTCCACAGCCTGTACTGACATCTCCTCCTCCTCTCCCCCTGCAGGGACAGGATGTGCTGGGAAATCAGGCAGCACTACCTTCCTGCCCAGGCCCCCGGACGCTTCCTGCTGAAGGGTGAGGGAGACTGGTCTGGGGTGGCAGGAGGCTGCTGGAGCCCCCCAGTCCTGCTCTCAGCAGGGTTTTGGTACCAATGTCCCTCTTCCCAGTGCACTCCCAGTATTTTGTGTCTTGGGTCCCTAAGTGCCAGATGCCATCACAGGTGACACCATGGGCTGGTGCCTGTGGGGTTGTCCCACTCTGGCTCTGATTTTCACCCCTTGTACTCTCGGCTTGTGGTGAAATGAAAGCCCCTGGATGATGCTGGGGCTAACCAGGACTGACTGGGATTAACTGGGCTATCCTCTCATCCTTCCCAGGCCATAGGAAAAGCAGCAAAGTGGATGTGGTGGTGGGTGAGGCTGACCCCAGCAGCTTCATCATTCTCTATTACCAAAAGGGCCGCAGCATCTCTGTTAAGCTCTATGGTAGGTTGGGGCTCTGGGTCTCATGGCAGGTGAAGGACAGAGGTGGGAAACATGTGCTGGACTCTGGAGAGGCCAGCTGAAGCCTTGAAGGACCCAACATTGGAATGGGGGTCACTCCTAGCTTGAGAATTGTTCCCAGATGCTGTGGGGGGAGCAGGTGAGGGGGAAATTGGGAACCCACTTCTCTGACCTGAAAGCCCCCTGGGCCCTGAGCCTTGTGTAAGGACGTGGGTGGCTTTGGGCCAGGCCAGCTAGGGCCTGAAGCCACTGCTGGTGTCTCCCCACATGCAGGACGGAACAGCCTGGTCAGTGACGCCGTCGTGGACAAGTTCGAGCAGCGCGCCAGGGCTGTGGGGCTGAGCGAGGATGTCACCTACTACTTCCCCACCTATGGTGGGTGGCACACGCTCCTCAGGGAGACACGTGTGGGTTCTGTCCCGATGCTCTGGCCACCCCAGGGACAAAGATGCAAGGATGGGGCTGTGCCCTGCAATGTCCTGGGGGTGCAGGGGCTGGAGGGTGCCAGGTCCCAGACAAGGTGATCCCCCTGGGCTCTATCTCTTTCAGGGTTTTGTGACTCTGCAGATGAGTTTCATGTCCTCGATGGTGAGTTGGGGATGCTGGGTGATGCGCTGGGTGCCCCCATGTGCCAGGCTTGGTCCCACACTGGGCACCAGTTGGGTGTCCCTGCCATGACAGTGGGCTGGGCACACTGGGCCAGATTCACGCTGCACCATGGCTGTGTGGTCCTGCCCCAGGAATGTAGGAGGGCTGGGCTGGCATGGGAAGGGCCATGCCAGACCATTCCTCGGGACAGAGCCTGTGCCCTTGTGTGGCAAACCGTCACTCACGATGGGCATCAGGTGGTAAAGCAAACCCCACTCACCCCCCACATGGGTCAGACTGGGCTTGATGGATCTATATTGGTGTTTCCTGGCATGAGGGCTGATCTAGGATGAGATGTCCTGGCACAGGGGCACCCTGGGGTGAAGGCTGGGGTCCCTGAGGACAGCTCCATTACTTGTCATTGGTGCTTGGCGAGGCAGAGGTAGGTCTCCAGCCCTGGTGCTGGGCTTGGACACCCCCGCCAGTCCCTCAGCACTTCTCTTCCTTCCAGAAACGAAGCTGTAGGTGCACATGGAGTTCCCAGGGGGTCCCACAGCTCAGCCCTCACCTCAGCCAGCTGCCCATGGCCACACAGACCTGAGCTCCTCAGCCCCTCCAGCTGTGCTGGCAGCTGCATCTGTCCTTGGTCCTGTGCCCTCCCAGCTTGTGTCCCCCCTCTGCTCTGTGCCTCACTCTCCTGCAGGAGCCAGCAACACCCCAATAAACACCTCAGAGAAGAGCCTGTGTACAGGCCAGTCACCTCTTGGTCTGCCCCAGCCAGGCCAGCACTGCCTCCACCATGGCCTGCTAGTGCTTTGGGCATGTGCTCCTGGCTGGGGGGTGCCACGGGGATGTTGGGGAGACTGTGCAGCCCCCTTTCATGCAGACTCCTGCCATCTTCTCTGTGAGCCTTCCTCAGCCATGGACAGCAGGGCAGAATTGTGGTGGTTCCTGTTCCAGCTGGCAGGGGCAAGCACTGAGGGGAACCACAGGGAGCCTGGGGCCACAGGGAGCATGGACTTATGGGCTCTGAGGGAGACCACAGCATCTGCCTTTTCCCCCAACAAGCTGGGAGATCACTCGAGGACCCGCGGAGGAAATCTTATTCCCACAATCCTGCTTCCCATCTCCAGGGCTGGGAAACACCCCGTTCCCCTGCCCCAGCCCTGCAGAGTTCATTCCCCGAGGGGCTGCTGTCTGCGCTGGACTCCTGCCTGCACAGCCAGCACCTTTCAGAGAGAGGCAGGGGACTGGGGAGCTGCAGGGTTAATGCTGCAGCCCCTCATCCGACCCCTTGTCCCTGTGTGCAGAGCCTGGCCAAGGCCACCCGGCAGCAGGCAGGTGCAGGGCCCCGTCCCCCCCTCCCGCAGCCCCCGCGGGGGGAGCAGCCCTCTGCCCCCAGCACCAGCATTTTGCAATCCTGGCGGGAACTGGTAACACATGTTGTTTATCAGGGAATTATGTAAGGGAAGCCACGTGATGTGCCCGGAGCCAGTCCCTGTTCCCACCACCCAGGTGCGGGGCAGCCGTGTCCAGCCCGGCCACCCCGCGAGCCTGACAGAGCTGGGCTGTGGTAGATCCAGCTCATTTTACCTGCACTCCGAAGTGGCTGCACCGGGCAGGGGGATAAGGGAGTAAGTGGAGAGCCCCTGGGAGCTGGGCTGGTCCCCAAGGATTCTCCACACCCTTCATACCGGCTCAGCCCATCCGTCGTTGGGGCTAAACCATTTCTGGGTGCAAACACCCAGGTTATGCCCAAGGGTCTGTGTCCAACCCCGCGGGGATCCACAGCCCAGATACCCCGTCCTGCCCCCAGCCCTGCTCTTTCTGCCCCTTGCCACCGTTGGTGTTCCCCTATGCCCCAAGTGCTCCAGCTTTGCCACCCAGGTCCTTGGGCTGGCTCCCAGCTTTGCCACCCCCAGGACAGCCGAGCACCACCCGGATATCCATCGGGCACCCCTTCCTTGCACCTGGGCAGGGAGCTGGGGGTACCTGGCAGCAGAGGCGACTTTGTGTTCCTGCCGCAGTGCCAGTGCAAGTGACACCCCGGTTGTTCCCTGCCTCTGTGCCCGATGGAGAGAGTTTCCCCCAGCACCCTGAGGGTGAGCTCCGGGGGAGACTGAGCTCCAGCCCAGGATACGACGCTCCAGCCAGGCTCTCGTGATATCCAGTCCTTCCTGCTCAGCTTTTGTTTTGTTTTCATAAGTCCGCGGGGCCGGGCAGGCGCGGAGTGTGCAGGGCAGGGCGGCCTCGCAGCGGGGCGCGGGGAAGGGAATGTGCAGGGGGGGCTGCCAGGGGAAAACCAGCTGGTCTGAAAACATGCTCCTTACGTAAAGCACCTTGGCAGGGCTGCGCCGCGGGGCTGGGGCTCTGCCCGGCACATGGCCAGCCCTGCCCAAACCCTGCCAGACCCATGGGCGTTGCTGCTGGCACCCAGCCTACATCCACTGCACTCACCCTGCAGGGGCATCCCCAGATTGAGGGGGGGCACGTTAGTACCCACTGGTGACCCCAAACCAAGGGGGAAGGGCATCTCCAGCCCCTCTTGTCAAAGGGTGCAGGGTGGTGGAGCAAGTGGGGTGTCAAGTTCTAGGGTGGATCTAGCTGCATGCTGGTCCCCAGGGAGCTGAACATGGGGCTCCCCGGCTCACCAGTGGGACGACCCCAAGGGTGCTAAGGCCAGCAGAGATACTTCCTTGGGTGATGCAGGTACTTGAGTCAAGGCAAAGCAGGGTGTCCTGTAAGAGCACATGCAGGTGTCAAGTCTTATGGGTTGGGTTGGGACCTGGCAGACACTGGACATTTCCTCCATCTCACTGGAGCCCCACTCTGGGTCCAAGTGAGGCCACCCTGTGTGGATGGGGCAGCGCTGGGCCCTCTCTGTGGGCTGCTCCCCATGCCAGCCCAGCAGCACTGGGGGCAGGGCAGCCCCTGCACTGGCCGCTGGCTGTTTTCACTGCAGAGCAGTTTGGCACCCTGGAGCAAATATGTCATATCAACAGGAGGGAAGCATTCACAGGATCCCCTGCTTGCCCTTTGGCTTCAGCACTCTGTCCTGCTCCAGCTTGCATAACGGCACAGGGGGAGGCAGGGCTGGCTCCCGGGGGCCCCCGCAACGCCTGGCCATAAATAGGGGCTCGCCAAACTCTCCAGCACTGCAGCGCTCTGCCTCCAGCTCTCAGCTCGGCTCGGCTCGGCTCGCCTTTGCCATGCAGACCATGCTGCTCAGCATCCTGGGGCTGGCCCTGCTCGGGACACTGCACGCCCAGGACAGCATTCCTGTCCAGGCTGACTTCCAGCAGGACAAGGTGACCCAGGCCAACCGGCATCACCTCCGTGGAGGTTTGGGCTGTTTTGGGGGATCCTTGCCCTGAAAATGTGGGGAGGGGGTGGTGCAGGTGGATGGGGGGCCAGGCTCGCACTGGTGCACATGCAGCCTCCCATCCTGGGGACCTCCCAGCACCTGGGTTTGGTGGCTCTGGAAGGGATCCAGCATCGAAGCTCCGGGCTGTGGGGCAGGACCCTGGGTTAGGCATGCGGCCAAGCTGCTGCTGTGCTGCGGAGTGGGTGTGGATGCACAGGGAGAGTGAGAAATGCAATCTCAGTCTGACAGCACAGAGATGCGCCATGGGAACCCCTCCCTCCCCAACAAAAACCCCAGCCCAGGGCCACAAAAAAACAAGGGCTGCTGTGCTGGGATATCCCCTACATCCCTTCTCCCCTGGAAAAGTCCTGGGGGGCATAGTCACCCTAGGGAGGTGATGAGGATGGCGGGAGGCACTTCCTGCAAGGACAGGGGTTTGGGATGTGCTGCAAGGGTGATCCCAGCACAGCTGCTCTCCAAGGTGGGCAGTTCCCCTCAGGGGCATCACACTGCACATTCCATACACCAGAATGGAATGAGCCATGCTGGACCCAGTGTCCTGACCCATCCTCACACCCCCAGATGGATGGAAATGGTATCTCAGAGACAGGCAGTCCTGTCACACTCCCTGGGCTTGGGGTGAAGAGGAAGGAAACACCCAAGGGCAGTGAAGGACATGTCATGAAACAGGGATTTCCTTGTTCCTGGGTTTTGTGGTTGCCAACAGCTGTAGCAGCTCCCTGTGAAATTAGGACCTTGGGACACTGTCCTGCCGTAGGGAATGGGGACAGGGGAGAGGAGAGGGCCATGGCCTAGGCTGCGGCTGGTGGGGGCTAAGGGGTGAGACAGGGTCTGTGCCCAGCTGGGGCTGAGTGGAGGTTGTGTGCAGCTCACAGGGAGATGGTACAGCATCGGCCTGGCCTCCAACTCTAACTGGTTCAAGGAGAAGAGACACCTGATGAAGATGTGCACCACCATCATCTCCACCACAGCAGAGGGGAACCTGGAAGTTACCTCCACCTACCCCAAGTATGAGGCATGGGGAGTGGGTGAGTGGGGAGGGGCTACTGGGGGTGGCCACTGGTGCATCCCCTGCTGCTCTGCTTCCCAGGGGTGACCAGTGTGTGACGAGGAACAGTCTTTACACCAAGACAGAGCAGCCGGGGCGGTTCAGCTACACCAGCCCACGTGAGTGCTCAGCTTCCATGGGGCAGCCCCGGACATGCTCCCAGCCCTGCTGTCCCTGCTTCTGCCTTGTGGCTGATTTGGAGCTCAGGGCTGAGCTGTGCCCCATGTTCCACGCAGGCTGGGGCAGCAAGCACAACATCCATGTGGTGGAGACCAACTACGAAGAGTACGCCTTGGTGGCCACCCAGATCTCCAAGAGCACTGGTTCCTCCACCATGGTGCTGCTCTACAGTATGTCTGCCCCAGGACCCCCATGCTGTCCATGCCCTCCGGATGTCTGTCTTTCCCATGAGAGAAGGGCAGGGTTAGGGTCATTTCCCAAGCTGGGGTGACCTTAGGGGGATGATGGCTGGGTCAGAACCCCCTTGCAGGGCTGCCTGTGCCCCTGTGCTGGTGGGTATGGGGGGGACTTGCCTCTCACCCTTCTCTTGGCTGCAGGCCGGACAAAGGAGCTGAGTCCCGAACGCCTGGAGCTGTTCACCCAGTTCTCCAGGGAGCAGGGCCTGACAGACGATGAGATCCTCATCCTGCCCCAGACGGGTGAGACTGGGAGCACAGGGATGGTGTCGGGGAGTAGGGGGTGAGGTACCACAGGGGGACTGAGAAGGAGGAGACCCTGCTGGCTTGTCCCTGCCTCTCTATGGGGCCAGCCATGGGGTGCCCCCATTCAGGATCCCTCAGGGGGGCTGAGTTCCCGCAGCCCCCAGAGGAGCTGATCTCCCTGTTTCTTCCTTCTGCAGACAAATGCATGGCAGATGCTGCTTAGGTGAGTCCTGCCTTCCCTGGGGCTTAGACCAGCCCTATGGGATGGTGTGGGGATGCTTAAAGCCACATCACCCCACAGAGCCCCCAGCCCCTCCACAACCCTTCCCTGGGTTGCTGCTCTCCTCACATTGACTGGGGATCCCCCACCCAGCCCTGTGGGGTGTCTACCCACTCAGTGTGAGGCTGGCCAGGCCCATGTCCCCCGTATGTGTAACCTGGTCTCCCACAGCTCAGCTATGCTCACCCCTCATCTTTTCCAGGAAGAGCCACCAGCTGCTGCCGGCTGAGTCCCAACACCACTGCAAGCTGGTGACCACCCTGCCCCATCTGACCCCCAGTGGCCCCCCAGCACCACAGCAGCCTTCGCTCCCTGTCTTCACAATCCACACCTCTATCCCTGTCTCGATTAAAGCCCATAAAAAACCAGCCCTTGCCTGCTGGATTGTTGTGGGGCAGGCCCAAACAAGGCAATGGGCAGGGGAAAGCATGGCCAATAGGGTTGGGACTGGGGTTAGTGGTCAGGGCTGACCCCAGCTCCTGACTATGGAGCTGCTGGGGTGAGACCCCATGTGCATTCACAGCCCTGCCCCATGGTGCTGCCTGGCCACTGAACCTGGCCTGTCCCACAAAGAAGGGTCCCTGCGTCTAGGACCCCTGGGGCACCTGCTCCCCCTCTGCTCCTTGGGCACCCTGGGCTCCCCCGACCTCCTTGCCTTGGTTTTCCTGCTGGAGAGCAGGCTGGCAGCATGGGAATGGGGCGATGGGCAATCAGGAGGTCTCCAGAAGTTTGGGGAAGGATGGACATGAAGAAGAAGGATGACTGTAAGCTCTGGGTGTGGCTTGATCCTGACCACCTCCTGGGTTCCATCCCATGAACCCAGACCCTCTCAGCAGTGGGTCTGAGCCTGCTGCTACCAGCCTAAGAAGACACCACCCCTTCTGAGGGCACTGGGCTGTGGCTCTGCCTGGGGTAGAACACCAACACAACCATTCTCTGGCACTGAGGATCCTGAGGCAGGATCCGTCCCACCACTGACGGACCCCAGAACCAATGGGAACAGCCAGGAGGGGGCCCCTGGGATGCATGTCACATTTCGTCCCCATACAGAGCGGGCACAGGGCAGCACTTCATCCTGGCGTGCTCTGGGCTGGGTCTCACACAAAGATGCATTCATCTGGAACTGGGGGGACAGGGCCAGCACTGTCACCTAAGCCATGGACAGGTTATCCCTGCTCTTGTGTAACCTGTTGCATAAAGCTGGCGTGGGCAGGAGTGCTGCCAGCAGTGGGGGCTATAAAGTGGGTGCAGCCTCTCCTGCCCACATCCACTCCAGGGTGAGGATGACAGCAGCACTGCCCAGCCTGGCTCTAGCCCTGCTCTGCCTGCTGCAGGCAGGAGCCCAGGTGCCTGTGCAGCCGGACTTGGACACCGAGAAGGTAAGCAAAACACGGTGCTGCCTGGCACATCCTGCCTGGACTGGGGGGGCTGGCTGGGGCAGGGGGCCTGTGCTGCACCCCTGGGCACCTGCCAGCCCCATCCCTGAGCCAGCTCCAGGGCAGCTTCCAGGAGAGCCTGTGCAAAACCAGGTTAGTCCTGGCTGCTGTGTCCAGCACCAACAACAGCCCTACTGCAAGGACACCAGCACGTGGTGCCATGATGTCTGCAAGCATGAGGCACTTTCCCAGGAAACATGGGCCAGATGCTGCACCTGTACTCTTAGCATGGGACAGGACAGGGTGTTCTGCATGCAGGAAGGTGGCAGTACCCCATGTTTGCCTGGCTGGTCCCCATAGAGGGTGGCAGGTCTGCCACCACCAGCTGGCAGGTTTCTATAGTGGGCTGTCATGTTCCCCATGGTGGAGGGCAGACCCCCACAGATGGTAGCAGGTCCCTGAAGAGGGTGACAGGTCCCCACAGAGAGTGGCAGGTCCACTGTAGGTTGGCAAATTTCTGCAGAGGGCTTCCAAGTCCCCTAATGGAGGAGTGCAGGTCCCTCTGGCAGGTCCCCGCAACTTTTCCAAATTCCACCGGTGATGTCCTGCTGCAGTTTGCAGGGGAGTGGCATGTCACAGCCATTGCTTCCAACTGCTCCGTCTTCCTGAAGATGAAGGATGGGATGAAGTCATCCATGGCCATCGTCAGCTTCACACCAGAAGGGGACCTGGCCATGAAGTTGGTCTTACCCCTGTAAGTGTCTTGTCCTGCTCACCGTGTTCCCTGTGGGCCAGGAACTCCCTTCCCCCCCACAGCAACTCCCCCACTGCTCTGGGTTGCCCAGTACTGCCTCAGTGCATCCCCTTGGGCAGGCTGGGCCCATCTCACCCTGCTGCCTTCCCATGTGTCTAGTCACATTTGTCTTTTTCATGTTCCTTTTCCAGAATGGACAAATGCCAAGAGTTTGAGCTGCTCTTCCAGCAGAGCGGGAAGGCGGGGCACTACATGGGTATGTGTGGAGAGGGGCTTTGGAGCCATGGGTACCCCGAAACAGAGGGCATCCCCAGCCCCCATGCCTCGGGAGTAGTGGGAGGTGGGCTTGGCCCCTCTGCCTCCACGGCTCAGCAAGAGGTTGTGGGTGGGTGGGCACCTGGCTCCTCCACATTGAGCAGGCAAATTTGAGGTTTGAGCACTGAGCTGTGGGCCTCAGCAGGGCCCAGGAGGGCTCAGACTGTACCATGTTACCCAGACAGTCACCTCTGGGGTCCTTAGGAGCACAAGAGAAGAGGAATCTGCGTGTGATAGAGACAGACTACAGCCACTACGCTGTCCTGCACGAGGTCCAGCACAGCAAGGCAGAGCCCAGCACGGCACTGCAGCTCCTCAGTACGTTGGGAGTGGGGACCTGGCTCCTGGAAAGGGATGGGGGCACCAGCAGCAGGCAGGGACTGGGCTCCCCACCACCAGCAGCACCCCATGTCCATCACCTAGGGAATTAATTTTGGGGTGAATGAAACCTTGCACTAAAGAAATCTCCAGCTGGTTGCAGGTTGAATCAGAGCCCCCTGCAGTGTGCAAGCCCAGCTGCAGCATCCCAAGCCTGCCAGCCACCCCATACCACCCCAAACAAATGGGTCGCTGATCCCAAGCGGCTTGTGGCCCTTTGCTGCCAGCCCAGGGCAGCTGTGGGTTGCCTGGCGTCCACCCTATGTGTTCATTGCTTCACCTTGGCCCTTCCCTGGGGTTCAGCTGCTGCCCCGCAGTACCTGGACCCCCAGTGTGGGGCTGGCTGCTGGGATTCCTTGCAGTCACCAGCCCCCACTTTGGGTCTTTGGCTGCAGCAAGGGAGCAGGACGTGAGCCCCCAGCTCCTGCAGAAGTTCATGGAGCTCATCCCCACCATGGGCCTGACCGAGGACATGCTGGCCATCCTGCCCAAGTCAGGTGAATGGCTCAAGGGCAAAGGGTGGCAGCTGCGGCCCCTCTGTATGCGGACTGCGCAGGGGCTCAGGTGTGCTGCCAATTGCACACTCACCCTTCTCTTTGCTTTCCAACAGATCAATGCACCGGGGACATCAGGTGAGTGTGGCCAGGGAAAGCTGTGACTCCCTTTCAGCATGGCCTGGGCTGAGCAGGGACTTGCAGGCCCTGGGGGATCCCCCACTTGCCTCGGGGCTCTGTCACCTTGGCTTTGCCCTGCTCTGGCCAGTCATCTGCCTGTCCTGCCTCTGCAGCTGAAGGGCCACGTGTCCTCCAGACCTAGCGGACGATGGGCTCTGCGCCCCACTCCGTGGTGCTCCTTCCCATCCTCCAGGCTCTGGCAGACCCCCTGCTCCATACCAGGATCACCATCAACCTCCTAAATAAATAGATGCAGCAGCTTCCCCAGAGCTCGGTGCTTTGTTGGCAGGAGCAAGGTGGTGCCAGGGTCCCTAGGCAACCTGAGCACAACAGTCCTGGAGCTGACCCTTCCTGTCAGGCCCACCACAGGTTTTAAGGGGCTCCCTGGATGTGATGTTTGCTGCGCCCAGCATGGGGAGGATGGGGAGCAGAGGATGGGGAAGGTGCAGGGGAGCAGCTGCCAGGGGAGGGAAGAATGGAGCCAGGGTGGACAGGGGCTGGCACAGCCTAGCTGGGTGGTCAATAGCTCTGGGCAGATAGGGTTAAGCAGTCAGGCTGCCCAGTGCTGCCTGCAGGGACAGCCCCAGAAACTCCATTCCCTGCTCAGACCTCTCCCAGGCCACCCAGCTGGGAATGGGGTGGCACCAGGGCTGCCTATGGCCAGACTGGGACCCACATGCCTGCCACCCCTCTTGGTCCCCCATCTCACCAAAGCAAGGCCATGCTGCCATGAGCCCCAAGGGCCGTTTCTATCCGCCTCCACCTCCTGCACAGTGAAGGCAGCCTCTGGTCCCCCCTCTGCCTCCCTGCCCTGCAGTCCCTCAGTGCCCAGGCAGATGTTGGGCTGTGACCCCAGGAGCCTGGCAGAGCCAGGCCACAGGGGACATCACATTCTGGGAAGGAGGGACACACTCCCACAGCGACATGAACCCCTTCTTCTGCCCACCCTGCTCAGGGTGCAGCCCGCTCGGCAGACCCTGCGTGCCCCAGCGAAGGTGGGGAGGCCGGTGCAGGCACCGCGGGTCAGGCTGTGCCTGCGGAGGGCTGGACTTGGGCAGGATTCCAGCAGCTGCCCTGGGGCACGTTTCAGCCCGGCCAGAAGAACGGGTCACCGAGGGCCTTGGCGAGTTGGGCAACGGGGCTGCCCCGGGGCTGGTGCCGGGAAGAACCTCCCGCTCCTCCTGGCAGTCCTTGGCAGCCCGTTGGAAAACAACCGTTCGCTTTGTTCTTTCACAATCAACTAAAAATCCGGGGGAAATCCCAAATTTCAGCAGTGGTGCAACGGTTCCTGTAACTCCGTTTTGGGGCTGGCAGGCACAAGCCCCGCTCTGCCCCGGGGGTTTGTTCACCCTTGGCTGCCCTGCGGATCGGATCCACCCTTTGCCCAAGCCAAGCCCAAGAGGGTTCCCGTGGGGCTCGGCACGGCTCCAGCGGGGGCGGCGGGGGAGGGAGCGCGGAGCTATAAATCCGACAGCGCCGGCACCACTCCCCATCCCACGGCTGAAGGCAGAAGAGCTGGGGCGAGATGAGGACCGTGGGGCTGAGCCTGGGGATGGTCCTGCTGTGCTTGTTGCGTGTGCAGGCTGGGGACCTGGGAACTGCGGAGCCGGATGTGAGCAAGGTGACCCTCAGCATCCCGGGAAGGGAAGGGAAGGGAAGGGAAGGGAAGGGAAGGGAAGGGAAGGGAAGGGAAGGGAAGGGAAGGGAAGGGAAGGGAAGGGAAGGGAAGGGAAGGGAAGGGAAGGGAAGGGAAGGGAAGGGAAGGGGCTTGTTCTCCAGTCACCAGCAGAGCAGGGAGGACTGTAAAGGTGTTTTGGTACTGGGGACAGCTGGGGTCACTACAGCCACCATTTGCTTTGCTGACACACCCAGGTGAGGACAGTCACCCAGCTCCTGCATAGGTGTCCCTAAGGGAATTTTGTTGCCTGGATGGGATGTAGGTGTTACATGGACTGAGATTGTCCTGGCTTGGTCCCTGAGGAGGAGACACTCTAGACTGCTCCTCTGGACTCACAGCCTGCTCTCGCTGCCAGATTGCAGGGACATGGTACATCACTGCTATGGCCTCTGACTCTGAGAGCTATTTCCAAAATAAGGACCAACTGAAGATGGCGATGGCCAACATTGAGGTCTCAGGGGATGGTGACCTGAAGGTCTCCTTTGCAATTCCTGCGTAAGTCCCACATGCTTTTCTCCATAGGCTTCACTACCAAACTCCTCTCTGGACCTTCACTGGTGGGTCTCCACCTCAGTGTACTCACCAAAGATCTGGGCAGGGGTTCTTACAGGAACACCAGGGGCTTGGGACAGCAGTGGGCAGGCTCAGGACAACACTGGCCAGGACCAGTGCCACCACAGAGGGTGGGACAGGACCCTACAATTACAACTTTCCCAGCAGAACCAGCCTCATTCCAGAAGCTCAGAGCATGAGTGAGGGCATCGATAATGCACAGGTGCCAGCACTGTCCCCTGCCAGCCCAGGTATCCATTGTTCTAAGGGTGGTATCTGTCCCCTCCTGCCCTGGCCACACCATCATATCTCTGAACAGCAAGTCTCACATCTGGGATAGCAACCCTTGAACAGGGGAGGGGAGAGGGAGTCACTTCACCTCAGCTGGAGCATCCTTCCCTGTTCTGCAGCCCTGGGAGATGTATGAAGTTTGAATCGATCTACAAGCCAACAGGCAGCCCGGGTGAATACTACAGCTCTGGTGAGTGGGGGTGTCTGGCTCTTGGGGCAGGATAGAGGCATGTCCCACCATCCCTGTCTGAAGCAGCTGGCTGTTCTGGGGACATGGCCCTCAGGATTGCCTGCCCCTCCGGCATCCTGGGTGAGACATCCCTCTGTGTCCAGGTGCCAGCTACACCCCAGGGCTGGTGGCCCAGCAGCATGGCAGACCCCCCAATCCCTCTCTCTGGGATAAACTCATTGAGACCAAGTTTAAACCCTAGGGAAAAGCAGGTTCCTTCTGCAAAGAGGCTGTGAGTGGATGTTCCCAGGGGATGGAGCAAGGGTGGTTTTGCATCATTCCCAGCCCAAGGAGCAATCTGACATTGGCCAACAGCCTGCACTGACCATCCACAGCCCCTTCTGCCCTCGCTTCCCCATCCTTCTGCTCTGCTGTGGTCTGTGGACTCCCCAGGCTTCCTGAGGAGCCTTAGCAAGAGGGAAAACCAGGATGAGGGGATATCAAGGAAATTCAGGCTTGGTGGGCTTCATGCTCTTTACAGCCCCTTTGCAGAGTGGGGGTTTCCCGGGGGACGTAATTAATTTTTCTCCACATCCTTTTGCAGACAGAGGCAATAAGACGGTGCGGCTTGTGGATACCGACGGCAGCTCCTACATGGTTGTCTTTGCCACCAGAGAGAAAGAGGGGAAGACCTTGCACATGCTGAGACTTTACAGTGCGTAGCCAGCAGTGCTGAGCTGCTCCAAGGGTCCTGCAAGGCCAGGAGCCAGGGGATATTCTCTCTCCACTCCTGCCCTGGGTGTGGTGCAGGAGTGGGGCAGGGACTACAAGTGTTCCCTGTGTGGCAGGGAAGGAGCAGGGGTTTGTCATGGCAGGGGAGGTTGGGGCTCAGGCTCCCAGCACTGTGCTGCAAGTCCATGGCATTGGATAAGTTTCTTGGTGGAGAAGGGTGGAGGGTGGGGGTCCTGCTGCACAGGCAGAACAGAATCAGTGGGGACAGGAACCAAGAGAGAAGTCACTGCACTGGTGTCAGGACCTCTGGCTCATCTTGTATCCTGGGTGGGGTGTCTCATGCGCCTGGCCACCACTGCTCTCCAGGACCTCCACCAGTGCCTCCAGCCTTCTCCCAGGGATTGCCATCCGTCCCACCCTCAGGTGGACACACTCACCAGCTTCCCAGGAGATGCAGGGTCAGGCACAGCCTGGAGCTAACTCATGTCTTTGTCTTTAGGCAGAACCCAGTGGGTGAGACCCAAAATCAAGTTGCTGTTCAAGAGACTTGCCAAGCTGAATGGCTTCACCGACAAGACAATCTGGATTTTGCCCAGGCAGGGTGAGCACTGCCCATGCAGGAACATGCAGGCAGGGACCAGCTCAGCCCATCGGTACCACCACTTCATGGTCTGAGCTGGCAGGAGGGAGTGCTGGCAGCCAGCGGTGCTCTGGCTGGGCACAATGAGCAAGAAGAAACCCACAAGTTCCTTCTGAGTAGTCTATTTTGGGTGCTAAATGGGATTATTCAGACCACAGTGCCAGACTTAGGCTTTCTCTTTTTTTCCACAGAGGAATGCAGACTTGGTGAACTGTAGGTGAGTTGCCGCAGTGCAAAATGGTGTTTGCAATGTTCTCTCCTGGAAATTTACCTTCTTGGTGCCCCCAAGGCAAGGGCCACCAAGAACTCTTTGAATTCCTCTGGTCTGAGCTGGTGCTGGAGCTTGCTCACGGGTAGGACCATTCCTTTGGATACTTCTCTACAGCAGGGACCCCCAGGTAGCAGTACCCAGGGACTCCCAAGGAGCAGTGTCCAGAGACCCCCAGTGGGAAGTGCTGAACATGGGCATGTGAGCTGAAACCACCAGAGAAATGTCTGCCCAGCCCTTTGAGCAGTGAGGGTCAGGACACCAGCTCCTGCCAGTGGGACCTTGGGGTTGTGGACAGGCAAACCTGGCCAGAATGGGTTGGTGTCTCACCATGCAAACCGTATTTGCTGTTGCCCCCCTAGCCTGTGTTTTATCACCATACAGCTGTAGGAGTTACTAGAAATCCATTGCCAGAGATGCCTCACCCTACAAATCTGGGGAGAACTGGAGAAGAATGCACTGATCCTAATGCAGAGTCCCACAGGTCTCCTTGCCTCACCCAGACGTCACCTCTCCCACCTATTTTCCAGAAAGTGCAGACTGGCTTGTGGATGCTCCTGCCAAGCAATACAAGACCCATGTTCTGAAGCTCCAGGCTCCTGCTCCACCATCCTTCTTCTAAGCTCTGTTGTCAGGACTCTGACACAGTCCCTGCTCCTCCAGCACACAGTCCCTGCTTTTTGCCAAATAAACAGAAACCCTCCCCAAGTTTTGGTGTAGCTGTCTGGGGACAACCTGGGGTGCTGGGCCCTGTGGTCCCTCCCGTTGTCCTCCAGGGGGCTGTGGA